ATCATAAATTTTTTATATTATAAATTTATATATTATATTAAGTATTATTCTTATAAATATATTATTCTTAAATGATATTTATATGTATAAAATTTTATTATATATTTTAAAATTTTATAAATATTATTAATTGCTCATATACCTATATTATATTATATTAATTTATTAATTTTAATATTATTATTATTTATTACGTCATTCGGTTCGACCTCGATTCGACCGGTCAAATCGGTTGAACTGTGAACCTCTCCTTCTTCCGGTTCGTTGTCCGGTCTGATTTTCACAACCTTGATAATTACTTCCATTAATCATATCATTTCCATCCATCAACTTCATTGAATTTTTATCATTGGGACATACACTCTAGTTTTATTATTATTATTATTATTACTAAAGACTTTATCCAAAATTAAAATAGAACATCAGCTCGAACAAAGTAAATAATGCATAAGGTAGTCTTGAAACTTACTGAGTTTGTGTGAGGAGCAAATGGTGGTCAAGGTGGACTTGGAGGAGGGAGTAGGTGTCACAAAATCCCATTATTGCTGCTGTTTCGAGTTAAAGAAGAAGATGGAGATGAAAACTTCGATGCTCCCAATGCAACTATTGGGGTTGCATGTGAAATCAAAGGTGTTGCACTTGCTAGTGGAGAAGTGGACTCGTGCATTGGCGTTAATGAAGTGGACTAGAGTTAGGTCGTGAGGTCGGGTCATGTGCAGTTCATGCGGGAAGCTAAATTGTGGATCTTGAAACCTAGACGGGTCATTCCTTAGCATGATAATAGGAAGTTCTCGTGGAGACAAGCTGGACAGTTAGATTCTGCTTCTAGCCCGCGCATTACACTCCTATATAGCCTGCGTTTTTTGGCACTCGCCCGACTACCCATGCTCCAGCGCATGACATACCCATTCCCCCCACCGCTTTAGGCCCGTTGTCGCTCCTCACAGGTCCGCCCTCACCGTTCACACAGCGCCCGCCTGCGTTATTCATGAAGCCGTTTGGGACCCTGATGCCGCATGTTAGGACCGACCTCTTGTACCGATGTGCTCTGATTCTGGGTATTACGGACTTCCTCCCCAAGAAATCCCAATAAACTTATAGAAGGTGATGATGATTTTGCAAGGGATGGAACAAATAATGAAACAGGGGAACAAAGAGCGATAGAATAAGGTTATGTGAAGAGGATGGAGAGATAGCAGTCGTAGTAAAAGGAGGGAAAGGAGAATGAAGTCTTAATCATCAAAGCGGGAGATGAAGAAGAGTGAACAATGAGTGAACGATGTGCCTTGAACGCGAGATGCAAATGTAATGTGAAGGGAAGAACATGCGTACTAGCGCAATTCCCCCAAGGAAGAAAACAACCAATAACACACACACACACACACTCACACACACACAAAAACAAGCTCCACGTGGTTCGGATTTGCAATAATGCCATTGCCTCTAACTTTTGATTGGTCTTAGCCTCGGTCAATAAATTAGGCACCCAAGGAAGAAAACAACCAATAACTTTTCAATAAATTAAGGGTGTGATTTGGTTCATCCGTTCTTTAAAAGAATAAGAGATATTCCATCATAATTTGGAATTTTGAACTTTCAAATCATAGAGAATTTCCATGGTTTATCCATCACCTAAAATTCTAGACAAGTGTTCTAGTCTTGCCAAATATATCCCCACATATGTCTTTGGATCATCTAGTACTTTCTATTCAAATAGGTACTAAATTATCCTTCTTTCTTTTTTTTTGTCGTTAGGTTGTGCCTCCCTCATATCCACGAAAAGGACCATATTAGCTAATTTTTGGTGGCTTCCATAATCTTCCTATGTTAGTTCATTCGATGCCTCTAGGTCATGTTGGCTTCACCTCTTCGAGGAGCATATACTCAATCATTTTAGTGGCGCATCAAGTTTTGGGAGGATTATTATGCACTAATACTTCAATTTTTTTTGGAAATCATCTAAATTAAAACCCATACAATCAAATATACATGGAAGCTATATAATTTAGTAACTAAATGTATATACAAGTGTATAAAAATAGAAAATAAGATATGCAATAAGTGAAGAAATAATACAAATGATTCAACAAGTGCTAACCATAATCCATATTATATTACACTCCAAATATATTAGAAAATACGCACACTTGTAATCAAAATTGTCAAACGTTTAAATATGGCAATAGATTATTGACATAATTTTTGGGTGCACTCATTGTTCTCAAGCTTGACATATTCACTTATCACTTTCACTAAGTCTATCTTAGAGATGTCATTTTAATCCCTTTATATCGAACAATTATTACGTCCTCTGACCGGACGTAGAGCTACGTTCGGCCGCCAATAACATGTCGCCACGTGCTCTTACTCTTTATTGCGCGGCCCAACGACTTGGCCCGTAGCGGAACCCGGGAATGCTATGTTCGTGATTTTCTCGGTATTGATCGGTATTGCTTTGCAAAAACGAGAAATACCGCTCTTTGAAGACCAAAACCATGCAAATACCGAGTTGTACCGAGTTTTTCTACAACTCGGTACAACTCAGTATTTGCTCATGATTTGCTCGGTATTGCTAGAAAAAACTCGGTACAACTCAGTATTTGCTCGGTATTGTTAGGGATTCGCTCGGTATTGCTAGGTATTGCTAGAAAAAACTAAGTACAACTCGGTATTTGCTCGGTATTGCTATGTATTTGAAATATATCCAAAAGGTGATGGGATGTTGTTCGGATCGTCAAGGATTTAAAAAAAAACGCACGTGCGAGAACCCAAAAACAGCGGGTCGGGTCGACGACTTTTCTTCATGCAACGTGGCGCTAAAACATTGGTGGCCGAACGTAGAGGAGCGTACGTTCACTGGACCGAATAAAAGTTCCTTTATATCATATTATACTTCATTTATTGTGATGCCACCTAATAAGACCCAAAACTTAATCTCATTAGATCAACGCCTTATTAACGTACAATTAGTTCTGTTGTGGAAGCAACTGAACATAGAAATTCTTTTGATATTTTAGTAAAACCCACCTCATATAATATATTATATGTTTTAGCTGTGCCCAGGAGGAGGGTGAGTTAGGCATTTAAATTTTTTTCTATATTTTTCACAAACTAGTTAACATTATAAGAACCAATGACTTACAACATGTAAAAAAACAAGAGAAATCAACATAAAGATACAATCAATAAAGCACATGTTTTTTTTACATAATTTGACAGCAGGCTGTGTATATGCCCAGGTGCATGACATCACCTAGGATTTCCTACAAATTTGCACTAAATCATATCTATCATGCCCCAAAATCAAATTGAATTTTTTTTTAATTTTTAAATTTATAAAAATTACCACGTGAGCTATTCAAATTTCTTTTTATTAATAATAAACTAGCAGTGAAATTATTATATTGATCAAAACAAAAAATATACAGTTGTATTTATAATCCCAAAAATCATATACAATAGCCACGAGTTATACAATCACATCATCCAATCCATCTGCTTTTAACTACAAAAGAATAACTAAATAGAACTAAACAAACTACTATTATGTTTGCTTTGAATATTTGGTGGCATTAGACATAAGGTGTGAGATTTTTATTAATCATCAGAGTTTGAAGTACATGTTTACCAAGAATCAAAGACTATGATACGACTTTTCAATATTAGCCTGACAAGGATAATGTGGTAGCAGACGTTTTGAACAGAATTTTTTTTTGAGTTTCATTTCTTCAGCTTACTTATGATAAGTCTTTGATATGAGATATGGAGATAGTATTGTTGAAGATGATTTCTTCTATTGAGCGGGATTATGATATGTTGGCTTCGATGATTATTCAGTCTTCATTATAAGCAATGATTCAGAAAGCTAACAAGTTAGATACAAAGTTTTTGAAGTTGATTAGTTTGATTAGATTTGATAAAAAAATATGAATTATGTGCATCAAATTATGGTATTAGTTATTGCAAGGATTAATTACGGGTTCCTATTTTTGGTGATCTTAGGCAAGAGATTTTGCAAGAGGCTTATTATTCAAGCTATATTATTCATCCAAGAAGCTTCAAGATGTAAAGTGATCTAATATGTATAGTTTAGTGGACTATGTTGAAGAAGGATTGTTAGATTTTGTATCAAAGTGTGAAACTTGTCGATTAATGAAGGCACATAATTAGTGATCAGGTCTTTTGCATCCGCTACCCAAAATGAGAATATGTGACTATAGATTTTCCTATATGTTTAAGTAGGTTGAGATGAAGACACGAAGCTATCTGTGTTATTGTTGATCGACTGACAAAATCTGTCCATTTTATTTCGATGTAATAAACTGATTTAATGGATATATTTGAACAAGAATACGTGCGTGATATTATCATATTACATGGGATACTTAAGGTTATAATTTTTGACATGATGACATGTTTACCTCTAGACTGTGGAGAGAGATTAAGCAAGGATTGGGAACAAAACTGCATTGTAATATAATTATTCATCCTCAAATTGATGGGCGGTATGAGAGGACTATACAGGTACTGTAAGATCTTCTGAAACTCTGTGTTCTAAATTTTGGTGGCAGTTGAAAAGATCACATTCCTCTAATTGAGTTTGATTATAACAATAGTTTTTTCGTAAAGCATAAGTATGGCTCAATATAAAGCTTTATATTGTAGGAAATGTCGTACATTGATATATTGGATAGAGGTGATATATGATTAGGCCAACCTTGGTTGATGATACCACTGAAAAGATTCATTTGATTAAAGATAGATTAACGGTTGTACATGATAAGCAATTATAATATTTTGATTCTAAGCATTGGGTTGTAAAATTTTATGTATGAGACTTTCTATATGTGAAGATCAGGCTGATGAAAGGCATTAACAAATTTGACAAGGAAAGAAAGTCGAGCCCAAGATATGTTTAACCTTTTGAAAAGGTTGGAAGGATTGAAAAGTCTGCCTATATGTTATAGTTTCCAGATCATATGTGTCATTTCTGAGAAAGTGGATATCTGGTTATGGAAATTGAATATCGGCAAAAGGCATTGAGGTATATCCAAATATGAGCTGCAGGAAAGAACCAGAAAGGAATTTGGCCTATGATGTCAAAAAGTTTAGGAGTAAACAATTTCATATGGTTAGACTTTAGTGGAAGAATAAGATTGAGAGTCTACTTAGAAAAAAGAGTTTGAAATGAGAGAGTTGTAGCCATATTTGTTTATGCGATATGATACCTAATTTTTTTAAATATCAAGGATGATATTTTTTCGAGGAGAGGAGAGTTGTGACACCTCCAAGTCCATCATTTAGTTATACCCATTCTGACCAGATTTTAAAAAAGTAGAGATTTAAACTTTTGAGGTTTTCAACCATTTGCATATATTTGGGAGTGTTTTATTGCAAGAAAATGATTTGGTGTGCTCTAGAATGAGTCCTACATCTTTGGTTTGAATTGTGGCAAAATCTAAAAATGTCACTTTTGGAGCGCAGCGACACTTTATATTTAGCCAAAGCGTCGAATAGTGACATTAAAGTTCCATGCTCTCTGCTTTTATGGGGTTTTTAGCACCAGAACGCTCTAATTTGAGGACCGTAGCACTTTGATTTAAGCGTTGCAGCACTAGGCTATTATGAACTCATTAAATATATTTTAACTCTAGTAATATGATCATTTTAACTAAGCAGCCAGCCGAGCAAGATAGAGAAAAAGAGAGATTTGGAGAGGGAAAACTGTGTTATGAGTCGCTTCAGGTCATTTTCAATTTTTGGTCCATTTGGGAAAGTTATCCGAATCGAGATATGTCGCATTATGCCTATCTAAGTTTTCAAAAATAGAAAATGTAATCGAATTTTTTGATTAACTATATGCCATTATGCTTCATTAGAGATAAGTGTATAAAATAATAATAACAACAACAACATCAAACTTTTATCCCACTATATGATCTGGGATCGACTACACGAATCATTTTTCTCTATAATGTCCTGTTAAGAGATAACTTTATCTTGAAAAAAAAACTTTCCAATATATTTCTTAAAAAAATGGACAACAATAATATTTCTTGAATGATGTGCACCATGAGAATAGTAAAATCAAATTTCTCTTGGTATATCATAATATCAGCCTCATCATTGTTAACGTATTATGTTTATTTTAATATATTTATTTCAACTGAAAAATAACTTACTCATAAATAAGCTAAATACCATTCTGTCATAGAAATAAAAAAAACATGTTCAGCATATCATTAGATAACCTTTTCAGTATTAATGTAAAGATGATTTGTTTTGGAACATGCAAGTAAATGAAAGTATAATACAATGATGATACAACTAGTTACCAAAATTTTACAAAAAATAAAATAAAGTGATGTAGGCTTCGTTTGGGATGGCTTTCTTATTGCTTCTTAAAATAATTTTTTAGCACAAAAAATTTAATAATTAAAATTTTTGTACTAGAAAGCTGCTTTAAGAAGTAGTAAGAAAGCCATCCCAAACAAAACCATACTCTGCCTATATATCATGAAAATGGTTTGCTCGTAATTGCAGTCAAGCAATGAATTTATCGCCAGCATCATAAAAATAGCATCCTCACAAATAAAGTGGAAAAAGCTTTGTAAATCAACCCTCCAACAGTTCTTGTGAAATTGAAGTCCCAGCATAACAAAAGTCTTAAGGTTTTACAGCAAGGTGCGCTTACTTCAGTTATAAAGGTATTTTAACAAATGGCGAAAACCTTTATGTGAAACTTGTTCCAGTGATAATAGTAACAAAAGCAGCAACAGAGAAGAGGAGCACTTTACTCTTTCTTTCAAGCAATGTGTTACACATTGTTATGCTTTTCCAATTTTCAAACACAATGGAATGCTGCAATTGCATAGCTAGCGCTGGAATGAGATGGAATATGAGCCTGTGTTGGGATCTTTCACTGCTTTGAAGTTGTCGACGCTCATTCCGAATCTCCCCAATATATTGTTTCCCATATCCTTCAATTTACCTGAATCAATTAGAAGAGGAAAAAGACTTGTTTACTTTATTCATTAAAAACATACATTTATTAAAGAGTAGCAAGTGACCAGAGATTCTCATCAACCATAAGTTGACCGGCTTCATTTGAGACGGCTTTTTTATTGCTTCTTAAAACAATTTTCTAGTTTAAAAATTAAAATTTTTAGACTAAAAAGCTACTTTAAGAAGCAGTAAGAAAACCGTTCCAAACGAAGCCTAAGGCTTACTGCTTTCTAAAGCAACCTTTTTTGTGCAAAAATTTCATAAGCCGTTTTAAAAAGCAGTAAGAAAGTTGTCAGAAGGCTTGCGTGGAACTGTTGAGATAAATTAATGTAGGCATCAAAGTACATATGACACTAGAGAGTTTAGGATTAGTAAAATAAAGACTGGTTAATGGTTATGTGAAATATAATTTTAATTGGTGTTATGTCACTAATTATTTGTTTATATTAGTAAAAGATAAAATAAAACGTAGGTGTGTTAAGTTTAAATGTCTTTAATTTTTTTATAAAAGAGCACATATTATGGATGAGATTATAGCCTAATAAAATTGTGACAAGTTGTTTGAATAAGAAGTATCTTACAAATATTATCCCTCAAGAGACGCTACTGGATTAAGAAAATATTTATAAAATGGTGACTAGGCCAGCTGTGGTCTGGATTGGACTGATAGGACTTGGCATTTAATAAATAGACAAGTCGAACTAATCAAAAAGAAGAATTTTAAGATAGATATGTGATAGAAATGGAAATGATAGTTGAGAAATGATTAATAAAATCATGAAAATAGCATTTATTAAGGAAAATATAATGAAAAATAAGTTTAGATGGTTCAAACAATTATTGAAGATAAATAAAAAAATTAGTAGACATGGGTGAGGCTTCGTTTGGGACTACTTTCTTACTGCTTCTTGAAGCAGATTTCTAGTACAAAAATTAAAAATGCTGTACTAAAATGTTGATTTAAGAAGCAATAAGAAAGCCATCCCAAACAAAGCATTACTTGATGTAGGAGCCACAATCAAAGATCTTTGGGTCAAAGCAAGTTGCAGATCTGTCTAGAGTCCAGACTATCATTTTAAAACTTTGCTGGAATATAGTTAGTGAGGTGAAATTTAAAAAAATGTATGATAAAATCTAGCAGTTAGTACATATAATCTTGTATTAGGCAAATCTAATTGCACATGAAGAGCTATAGCTGAAATTAAGAAAAAATTAACTATCCCAACGTTACCAATCATCTCTTCCTTCATCTTTTCTCGCTTTTCTGCTGCCAATGGCTCCAGCCGCCTTATGTTCCTTGTTGCTTGATCATACGAAGGATCCAACTCAATGATCTTCTTCATGTCTACATATATTTGAAAGTTCAAACCAGAACCAACCAATAATAATTGCAAACAAATACATTAGTGTTCAAAAGAAACCAGAATATGGCAAATAAATGAAACAGGACAACCACGACAGCGTTATTGAAGTTTACCAGCGATGGCCTCCTCATAGTGTTCAAGCTTTTCATGAGCCTCCCCCCTTCTTATTAGAGCTTTAACATAAGAAGGATTTAACTCCAGTGCTTTGTTAGATTCTTTTATGGCATCATCGTACTTTCCCTTAAAATCAAAATATGCTTCTTAGCAAGAATATAGTTTGAAAATATAAGTAGATTAAAGAAAACACATCCTTATAAAACATCAGAAAGCCAGGTTAAAAAATTTTTTTGCTTACTTTAAAATTAAAACTAAAATTAACAGTTCTTCGAATAGGAATGCCAACTTATAAAACAGGCATGGCACAATAAAAAAATACTATGGAGTTTCATTTTTTTGAATAAAATTGAAAAGCGAGATCAATGTTCTGTTTCTCTTCTAATTCTTTAAGAGGATGAAAATAAATGCAGATAAAAATTAATAAATGTATACTGCAAATGCAGGCTTTAGGATTCAATAGCATTGACCATGGAAATGTTTTATAGACAATAAAAGTCCACATATTTGGGTAACATTATACATCACAAGAATCAAAAGCGGAGGGAGGAGTCCAAGTCAGTTCGGGTTAACCTGACCTGATTTTAGAATTGGTTTGGAAAATGAAGCCCGACCCGAACTATCTCGCAAATGGGTAGACCTGAACCTAATTTTTCGGTTCGGGTTAAGCATTGACACCCCTGAGCGACCCATACGGATTTGGAGGAAATTTAAGGACTGCTTGTTGGAAAATTTTCTAACCAATAGGAGGGGACTTCTACGAGCAGTTCTTTGCCCTGATGCAAGAGAGGACAGTGGTAGAATATCATGAGCAGTTTGAGCACCTAGCTAACATATTGAACTAGCTTCCGAAGACTATACTAAAGGGAATTAGGGAAACTTTATGAAAAAACTCAAACCAGAGATTCAAGCGGCAATTAGAGTGAGATGAGGCCTCGTGATTTAGGAGATGTTATGGAGCTAGCCCAGTTAGTGAGAAATCAAAGGCACCTAGAGAGAGGGCCTGGAGGCAATGGCTTAGGTATTCGTACAGAATAACCAACCGACACCACATACTCTTAGGGAACTCCAAAGGAGAAGACTGTAGGAGGAAGACATGGAGAAAACTTCAAGAAACTCACAGAAATGGAACTACAAGAGAAGGGTACAAAGGGGCTGTGTTTCAGATGTGAGGAGAGGTATACACAAAAGCACAAGTGTAAGGACCGAACTCTTCAGGTTCATATCATTTGTAATGATGAGGAAATTGAGGGAGCCGTTTTTTCCACCTTCCGGATAAGATGGGTTTTTGGGAGGGGTATTATTAGATCGGGTCCCTCCTAGTCCAATCCTTCCGGTCCTTTCCTGGACTAGCTATTCGGGGCTGATTTGGAGGGGATTAATAAATAAATGTTTTATAATTGAAGATGGCAGATTTGGGGGCTGATTTGAAGGGGATTAATTAGGAAATGTTTTCTAATTGAAGCGGACTGATTTGAGGTCTGGTTTTGAGGGAACTAATTAGGAAATGTTTCCTAATTAAAAAGGGTAGATTTGGGGGCTGATTTTGAGGGGATTAATTAGGAAGTGTTTCCTAATTGAAGAGGGTAGAGTTGTGGACTGATTTTGGAAGGAAATAACTAAGGAAATATGGAATATTTTGAAGGGAATTGGGGAAGGGATGTTTGGGTATTTGTTGTTTATTGTATGTTTTAAGTAGGGTGTTTTTCCTAGGGTTAGAGGGATGTCTTGTTTGTTGAATTTAGTTTATTTTTAGGTTATTTGGGCTCTACCTGGTGGCTAAGGATTTGGGAGAGCCGGATATTCCTCTTCAATTGAAGATCCAATTGTATCTTGCCTTTCTCTTTATAGTTCTTTCAATGAAAATTATTTTGGGGTGTTCTTCTTTCCAATTTTTCGTGTTTCATCCACTGATTTTGTGAAAAAAGCAGCCACTTCCTATCAAATACATGGCCGAATAGATCTACAATAGTGAATTCATTACAGTCACAAACTAAAACTTCTGTCAACAGTAAGATCTAAATCTCATAATCGGTCAGGTTATACTTTGTAAATACCCACATCTTTCCTCAGGACTTTCAACCAAAAATGGTTTCCACAGAAATCACAGTGTAAACACAGATAAAAGTTACAGAATATATTTAAGATGATAGCTGGAAAATTGTCGAGTACCCTAGTAAAAAAGCACTCTAAGGATTCACAAATTCGTTGGTAGAGCCAGATTTTCTGATACATTTGACAAATGAATATGATAATTAATAAACATAAAAGTGATGCAAATAAGGAGGTCACCGAACTTTAAATTCAATGAATTCCATGACTTCGAGATGTGGAATTTCAAGTTAATAACCCAATGAAAGAAATGATCCCTTTTCATAGAAGGATTTCTTAATCCCCCTTTTTTTACATGACAGTGTATATATGGCAGACGGGTGAAATTTTATGACAAAATCGCAATATTTAAAGACAAAAAATTCAGTTTGTTATTAACAGCATTTTCTTAATGACATTTTTTTTCAAAATCAAAGATGTAATAATAATAAGCAGCTATTTATATAATAAATAAACATATCTAACACCGAAACTTTATATTTATTTATATAGCACTCCGATGTCCAAATAAAACAAAATATAAGCATGAAAAAGATGTATTTCACTCTAAATAAATTAATGTTAGTCATATTTCTGATATGATTCAGAGATTAGAATGTCCTAAAATAAATATAAAGATTTATGTTGTTATATATATAAAAGAATTCAAGGGTATGTATGAAAATCGCCCTTAAAAAACAATGATGGAATAAGATTGTCTAAAAAACACTAACAAGTGACTTATCTGATAACATGCCAATTTAGTTTTTGTTATTTTTTTATGAAACATTATGCACTTTACAGCACACTTCTAATGGGTGGCATTTTATTCAAATATTATTCAATCTATACATAGCAAGGAAAGTTTAATGTCAGCCAAATGTTTCTACTAAATATTTTTTGCCTGGAACAGCAAGCCGAGATTTCATGCAAATAAATCTTATTGACTGACAGGAAAAGATATGGAAGAATAAAATATCTTGATCACTCTTCAACTAGACTAAATGACAATCTATAATTAATTTTCAGCAACTCACAAATAAAAAATATCTAAAAGGACACCAACTAACATATGATCATCTAAAAAATGCAAAATAGCTGGTGAAAAAGGCCTTTAAATTATAAAAAAAAATTATGGAAATAGGATGCAATATACTCCGCAAAAATCCTTAGAATATGTGAAGAGTTTCTGCTATTAAGACAAGCCTTCAAATTGAAACGTTCACAACAATAGAACATAGGATACTGAGCAAGATTCTTTAGCACATATAAAGAGCTTATATATTTTCTGCTAATTTCAGCCTTCTGTGAGTAAAATTATTTTGATTTTGCATACAAGTACGGAAATTTAACTATTAAATGTACAATTAAAGGAAAAGCATAACATATTAATGGAGTTTATCTTTTCAAGAAAATTAAAATGGAATAATACCAATTTTGAGAAGCACACTGCCCGGTTTGCATGGCACATGGAGCAAACTTCTTTAGATGAAGGAATTTCTGAAGCTATTTGCAAAGCAAATTCATATTGTGATAATGCTTCATCATAACGTCCAGACCCAAAGAGCTTATTTCCTTCTGCTTTAGCATTATTGGCTTGATTCAATGCTTTCTGAAAAATATTAATAAAAGAAGAGCACTTCAGAAGAGGCTGCTGAAGTTGGATCACTAACGAAGCAACTTAAATAGACAAACAAGCCATGCTCCAAGTAAGAACCCACATCCCAATTCATAAAGATGAAAATTTAGCTTGCCTTAAGCAGTATTACGTGTGCAGATTTAAGTTCAAAATTCATAATAAATCAAGGCACAGGAAAATGTTGTTCAAAATCTCTTTATCTTCTTCCCTTGGTTTTTAATCCATAAGCAGAACTAATGCATTTGATGTTATGCTATACGATTGCTGCAGCACGTAGTGGAGCCTAGATTCTTCCATGCATGGTTTAAGGAAATAATGGCAATGAATGGGCATTTGAAAGTGGAGATGAGAAGAGGTGGTTATGGTGAGAGGTGGTGGTAACGTGTGCTGGGAGGAGGGGAACAAGCAGTTTTTATGGCTAACATTCAAAGTCTAGGAGCTTTTATTGCTCAACAATCTTTTATAGAATATTCAACCTGAATCAAAAATCAACAAATGCCATTAGGACTGGTTTTAAAACTACAAACTAAATCACAAGCAATTGATCAAATCCAGGCATCAAGAGATTCTTCACTCGACCATAATAGAAATTAGGAAGGGATAGATATTCAGGATTATACCTCGTTTAGCTGCTCTTCCGTTAAAGCGTCCTCGAATCGTTCGTCCTCGCTTGCTGATCCCTCTTCCGGAGCTAGGTGTTCCACTGCCGCCGTCTCCGTCAACGAAGACTTTGGCTTCTGGCGGCTTGTAGATGTTTCCTCCTCAACTTTAGGCTCAACTGCTGGTTCAATGACCACCATCGTTCTACAATTGACACGAATCAAACTACTAGATCGAATGATATAAGCAGGGAAGAGCAATCAAAGCTTTGCTTCAATAATCCTCATAGTGATTGAATTAACATACCCACAGATATCTATCGCGTGAGTGACAAATATTCCGATCGTTGCGCTTGAGATCAACTAGAGTCGTAAGGAGCTGCTTGGTAGCTGGCTTTATGTAGGATTAACACAGGATTTACGATAGAATCTACCAAATTGTCCCAATGTTACTTTTTTCTAAAGCCCGTTTTACCTCGGTTTCAAATTTATTAAATTATGTAGCTCAACAGCTATTTGTTATGGGATTTGAAGCAGGATTTACGGTACATCCTGCCAAACGGGAAAATGTACATCTTAAGGGGCTGTTTGGTATCGGACTTATTCCCGGATTTAAGTCGGATTTACGCTAAATCCAGCCAAACGGTTTTTGTGCGCTCCTTAAATCCCTGGATTCCGTAACTCCTGGATTTAGGGATTTACGGCTTAAATCCCGGATTTACTAAATCCCTCTGTTCGGCGGATTTAACGGGATTTAGCCGAAGAAGCGCGCGAAAGGGACGAAATATATGTCACCTAC